CCTGGCCAGCTTCCTGGGGTAACTCAAGGCTGGAACAAAGCTTGAAGAGCCCAGAGCACTAAGGCTGGTCTAACTCCTCGCGATGAGAAGACTGTATGTGATGATGTGTTAACTGAGCGGGCCGGCAGGAACAGGAACGAGCGAAGTTAGAGACATCCGTAAAACTTCTGGCTGGCTGAAGTCACCAGGGCAATTTTTATGAAAGAACTGTTATTTAAAGGATTCAGTTAGGCATTTGGATGGGCAGGAAGAGGAGGGGAGCTCAGTGCAGAGAGCAAAGATGCAGACGGGTGGGTGCGTGAGGTGTGTGTAACAGGGAGCGAGAGAGAAGGACCATCAATGTGACACAGCATGTGTCAAGAAATACCCGTGGATTATGGCAGCCTGCTAGCCTAACTCGCTAGAAGAAGGCAGCAGCCCCCTGAGGGGACACTCACCTCCAGTCTGGCCCTCCTCCAACCCATTCTCCAAACGTCGGCTGGACCACAGCATTCCTCTAGTTAAAAGACCTTCAATGGCTCCCCACTGTTCTCAGTCTAATGTCCAAATTCCTTCACATGATTTATGAGGCCCAGTGGGACCTGGCCTCTGTGACCTCTCCCACCTCATCATCACTCTGCTCTTGGGTCCTAGACCTCCCCCTTGTCCCACATGCACTCGCTTACTGAATGACCTGAGTCTCTCTCCCCCAGGCTTCTCAAATGCTGTTTCCTCTGCCTGAAGCGTCTCCCCCAGCCCCTGCCCCACCCCTGCCACTGAGTGGGAACAGCATCAACCACTCATCCTTCAGGCCTCCCTCCAGTTAAATGAGCGTCTGCCTACAAAGGATGCTCCTGACCCCCCAGCCTGGGTTAAAGGGCCGTCCTCCGTGCTCCCAAACGAGATGGATGGGAACAGAGTCTGGAGCATTCTGAAAGCCTGCAAGAACTCAGACTTGACATAACGGGTGCCTCAGACTACGAGTGATATGCTGCGTATGATATTCTAAGAAAATGAGTCTGGCAATATTGTACCCCAACCTCTAAAAATAATCTGTGCTATCTTAGGCAAAAGTTGCATATACCAAGAATAGGTGAGCATCTGCTTGGTGGATATACACTCCTCTTCTCTTTGGGTCCTAACCCCTGATTTTCCCACGGGGAACCACCCCTTTCTCTCATTCTCTGTCCACTAGCTTAGGAGGGGCTGATGCCACCCTGGCTCCAGGGGAGGACCAATCGGAGCATCTCCTGCCCCTTGCCACAGTGACTAGCCCAGGGACAGGCATGAGACCCCAGGGTGGTCCAACAACACTCACTTCTGGACTTCTGCTGGCATCAAAAGAAGACACGCTTTTTCCCAGGGATTGTTAAGATGATACGATGTCAGCCTAGCCTGCTGAGAAAGACCCCAACAGAGAAGAAAGCACAGACAAGAACTGGAAGAGGGAGATCCTGCTAGCTTTGTCTAAACACCTGGACTGAGCCTGGCTTGACTGGGACAGACCATTCGTGACAGCAGCCCATCACTTCCATTTGGGGCTTACGGCTATTCCAGCTGGGTTTCTGTCACTTGCAATCAAGGATCCTAACCCACACACAAAGTGATCAGAATTAAGGGAACAACACAACACCAACCCAGGAGTTCTATCAGTTTGTGGAGTCACAGTTCCTGGGCCAGGTGATGGTTCTGTAGCAATCAAACAACTCCATCAGTAAAGTTTCTGCTCGGTAGTGGGCATTCGATAGTCACGTCACAGCCTCGCCAATAGTCTGGACAATAAATCACCCAAGATGTGTAGCAAATAACCTCTTACCATTTCAATCGACCTCAAATAAATCACTAACTTGATTCCGTAGACAAAGACCACAGGTACACCATTTCCCACTATTTAGCAAAAGTAAAACCCCATCTAACAGGAAAATTCCTTTCCAGTTTGAAAGCTGGGAGTGGTTCAAAAAGGGTTTCCAGCTCTTTGTACTATCTTCTCAATTTTTCTGTAAATCTCAAACTGTTCTCAAAGACAAAGTCTATTAAAAAAAAGGGAGAGGGTTCCCAGATTCTCTGTGTGCCAAAAAAAAAATTATCAATTCTAAATATTTTTAAATATCTTAACCTTCCCTCTCTACCCACACTGCCCTAGGTCTGGGCAACAGTATATTAGGAACTGTCACTTGTCACTGGTAGGGTGACCACTTTGTACTGGTTGCCCAGACTTCCCCGGTTTTCACAGTGAAAGTCCCATGTCCTGGGAAACCCCTCAGTCCCAGGCACCCGGGACAGTGGGTAACCCTCCATGTCAGATGAAGCCCAAGCCCCGTTCTACCCCCAGGCTTGTTTCCCACAACTACCAGCCCTCCCCTGACCTCCACCAGGACCCTACCCTGGTCCTGCCCCCACACCCCACTGCCCCACACAGTGGCTCCTGCTCCCTCTTGAAGACTCTGCTCTGGTGCTGCCTTCCCCCAGAAAGCTTCCACAAAGGCTTCCCCAGAACCCGGGGCCCACAGCGACTCCAGCACTTGTCACACTGCACAGTCACTGGCTCTGTGGCTGTCTCCCCCACCAGCCTGCGCACTCCCTCAGGGAATGAGTGGTCCTGTACCCAAGGCCACAGTGTTCACTATCAGAGCCAAGCGAAAGGCATCACAAGCGTTGGGGTGGACACTAGCTCTTTATGGCACTCTTTTCCAAGTCACTTTGGGATCTTCTAAGCCGCAAACCAATACACAAATCGCCAGGTTCTTCAGGCTATAATAGGGATTAAGCTGATCTGCCTGATCCAGGGCAGGCAGCTCGGGTTTCCAAAAAGCACCGGATGGCCGTGCGACCTAAACAATGACCCTGGGCAGATCCCGGGATACTTCGAAGGAACCTGAGACCCTTGACCACTCCCTGGCTGGCTGGACAGTGAAGAGGCCCCAGTGGGCAGTGAGACTCAGCCAAGTTGAAAGTCTTCCCGAACTGGCCAATAGGGAAGTCTTATTCCAAAAGACGGCGTAATGAGTCAAGCACTACAGTCAAATCCTGACTTTGACGCTTCTCAGCTGTTGTCACCTTGGGGCAACTGACATAATCTCTCTGAAGCTTAGTTTCCACTTCTATAAATTGGCAATAATAGCTCCTATAACTCATAGACTTGTGAGGACTAAAGGAAATAACACACAAGAAGTCCTTAGCAAGTACCTGACACAGAAAATGCATTCAATAAATATTAAAGGAATTCCAAAGGGCTAGAATCACACAGAGTTAGGTGAGCGCCTGCAGGTACCTGGATGCTGGCCAAAGGCCCAGCCTCCCTTAGATAACCATCCTCCACTTCTCAGCCACATCCACCCACTCTCTAAATTCCTGAATTCCTTACGCCTCTCCCTTTCCCATCCAGCTGCCCTCCCATTTAAGATTCCTGCTTCCCTACACACCCCTCTCCTTGTCCTAGGCCTCTCTCCCCCGCATGCCTTCTCTCACCACCACCGCCCCAAACCATCCCTCACCATGTAATGTGCCCTCCTGCCCTCCACTCTCTGGGACCCACAAACATTTATTAAATGCCTGCTCCACGCTTGAGAGGACACAGCACCCCTGATCCCAGCCAAATGAGAAGCCCCCATCTAATTTCCCTCCCACCAATCCTTTCCAAGAGCCCCTGTCTTCCTCCCACTGTTCCCCACCTCCCTGCTCCATCCTTCTTCCTTCCCATTAGTAATCTTGGGATTTCCCTCTGGAAACCAGCCAATTTCTCACCACCAAAGGTTTGCCTACTTCCCCACCCAACTCCCTCCCCATCGCCACTATATTTTCCTCCCCGAAGTCATTTCCTCCTCAAAGGTCTCTATTTTCCCTCACCTCCCCTCCAAAACTCCTGCATGCGCTGCGCCTTTCCCCAATCCATTCATCTTTTTCATTCTTTAAGCACCCATCGGGCTTCTATTGTGTGCCAGGCACAGCGCTAGATGCTGGAAACACAGCTGTGAGCAAAACAAGCAGTCTCTGCCCTCCTGGAAGTATCGGTTTTGTAACAGACAGAAAAGTAGTAAAAACAAACAGGATAATTACAAATAGTGGAGATGTCTTGAATGAAATCAAGAGAAAGATCTAGCAGAAAGGAATCAGGATCTGGGAAGGCTTGCCTAGGTGATTAACACAGCTACCTCTATTGGCCACCTACTGTGTCACAGACAGTGGATTAATCTCTTTCCATGCATGACGTTACTGAATCCTTGCACAATGTTCACCTTCCCCATGTGCACATGGGAACCAGAGGCTCGGAGAGGTGAAATAATTTGTCCAAGGTCACACAATCATTAAGCGGTGGAGTCAGAATTTGAATGTGGGTCTGATTGCAAAGCCACTCCACGCCCTCTTGCTTCCCAGGCCCCCCATTCGCCCCGTGGCCTCCCCCAGAGCTCCACTTCTGACAGTCCCTCTTTAGACTTCCCCAAGAAAACAATCTGTCTTTAATTATTGCCCTTTATTAAGCACTGCGTGTGCTTCTGGCTCTATGAGCATTCTCTTATCAATCCTCAAAAACAATAGTAGGAAGCAGGTGCCAGTCACAATATCTGTTTTACAACTGAGAAAACTGAGGCCTAAATTCGCACACTTAGATTCCAACCCAGATCTGTCCGACTCCAGGATCCAGACCTCTGACCCCTAAGCTGTCCAGCCTAAGAAGTACCACCCTGGGAACCCTGATGCCCACCGTCTGCCCCCGGCAAGAAAGAAGTCTGTGTCCTTAAACTGAAATCTCATCCCCTTACTTTACAGATGGGGATAGGAAAACTCTGAGAAGCTAAGCAAGTTGCCCAAGGTCACACAGCGAGGAGCGACCGGGTCAAGGTTCGAACCCAGGCGCCCTGACTCCAGAGCCCTCGCTCTTAACCACCGCACAGCTTTTCCCAGGCGGCTCTCCGCCCTCCACCTCCGCTCTCACGCCTCCCAGCGCCCCCGGCCCGGGACTATGCGTCCCCATCCCCACGTCCAGCCCCGCGGCCTCCCCCCTCTGCCCCCAACACACTCACTTGAGGTGGTCCAAAGAGTGGATGTTGCGGGAAGACTTGCCATGGCCCCCGCCCACCCAGCTCCGCGAGCGGCCAAACATGTCGGCGGCCCCCGCCCGTCGCTCGCCTCACGGTCTCATGCCCAAGCGGCCGAGCGGCCCGGCGCCACCGGCGGCAGAAGCAGCGGAGGAGGCAACGGCGGAGGTGGTGGAGGGACCGCCAACCACCTTCCTCCCTAGCCCACAGCCCCGCACTGACATTCAGCCGGAACCGGCCGTTCGACCGCCGCGCTTTACGGCCGCCGCCAAGGGGAACGCTGGGAAATGCAGTTCGCTGGCGAGGTCCCCGCCGACAGGACTCTGCGAACGAACTACAAGGCCCGGCGTGCCACACGCAACGGCGGGCCTGCGGGCTCCAAAAGGAGGCGGAACCAGAGGAGGAGAGTCCGCAGTACCGTCCGGGTGGGCGGGAATGGGAAACTTAGGGGCGGAGCCCTGAGGAGGGCAGCAGCGAAGATGGGTAAATAAAAGTAACAGCAATATTAACAATTATTAGCTTTATGATAAGAATAAGAGTAACTGTTGCATAGCGTATACTATGTGCCACTGTCCTAAGCGCATTCTATATATTGAGTTACTTAATTCTCCCAACAACCCTATGAGTTGGGTACTGTTATTATCCCCATTTTACCTTCAGGAAACTGAATCACAGAGGGGTTGACTTGCCCAAGGCCATGCAGTTAGTAAGTGACAGAATCAGGGTTCAAACCCAGGCACCCCTCTTTTTATCCGCCAATAAATTAAAGCTCATCGAATCGGTAACAGCCTTGTTTGTCCTCACAACCTTTTTCTTTTTCCATTTCAATTAAAAAATATGTACGGAAAGGGCTTCAAGCAAAAGTGTACCAAAACTGAACGTCCTGTACTTTAAGAGGGTTTCTCTGGTCTTCACCCAAAACATGCCATTTCCAAAACAACCACATAAAAAAAAACAAAATTGAAATACTCAGCTTCTCTACATGAGCCAAGAAGACGTACCTAAACTTCTCTCCTGGATTAGGAGCGGGAAACTCTGTGGAGGCAAGACTGCCCTATTCACCATTCATTCATTCGTTCGTTCACTCCTATACCTCATAGTTATCTAAGGCCTAGTGTGTCCCATTTACTGTGCTCAGGACAGAATTGGGCTAAGGGCCAATGTTCTCCCCAATGCCTAGCATAACGCTTGGCGCCTAATAGGTATTCAAGAAACATTGGCAGAGTGAATGAATAAATGAAGGTTTGTTTCACCTTCTGCAGTTGTTTCACCTTCTGCAGTTGCGGGGGTTAATGGTTTGCTCTGTAATTCATCTAAAGGGGCAAGAGACAGTCAAGAGGAAAAAGGGCAGGTTCTGGGCTCCAAACGCAGGCAGGCTGCCAGGGTCCCTCCGTTTCTCCGGGCCTCGGTTTTCTCCTCTGTCAAAAGGAGGAACATAGTACACTGCTTTAACTGGCTCCAATTAAGCTATGCTTGCAAAGCACCCAGCCCAGTGTGGCCTGAGATTTAAAGGTTTGTTGAACCTCTTTGGAAGGCGCTTCGGGCAAAATCGGTCTCCTGAAGGTTGTACAGGGTTGCCCATGAGGAGGGGAATCAGTGAGCGGAAGCCACACTCATTCTTCTGTGCACTTCTCGGTTGAAGGTTTAACCATGTGCATTGTTGTTGTTTTAAATGTGGTTTACAAAGTAAAAAGAAACAAGAAGTAGCCCTACTGCTCGAAGGTCTGACCTGTCTAGGAATCTCTTTACTCAGGTGTCCGTGAACTCCATAAATCCAGAACCCCCATCAGCTAGAATTTGGAGACGAAGGGGGCACTGATTGATCATCCCCACCATGAAAAACTGGCACTACGGCAAAGTCCAAGATTTTCACTCTTGAAGCCCACCACCCCTCTCCTACCCCGCCTCCTTTTTCAACCGGTAAACTGAGTCCCAAAGAGGCGTGGCGCCATACTCAAGTCCAGCAAGGTGCAGAGGAAGCTTGCGGTCTCCTTCAGCTCTTGCGGCCTCAGGGTAAGTCTAGGTTTGAATCGCGTTCTGTCTCTTTCCCCGCCCCCTACGGCCTGGGTCGGCGCAGAGCGAACCGGATCTGGGACCCGGCGGGAGTCCGGAACCCGGGAAGCATCTCCGAGCCCCGCGCCCCGAGGGGCGGAGCGAAGCGGTACCCGCCCCCGGACGGCTCGGGCCAATGAGCGCGGGCGCTGAGCGGGCCAATGGGCGCGGGCAGGGCGCGGGGGGCCAATGGGCGCGCGGCCGCTCTGGAGGCGGGGCTCGGAGCGCGACCAGGAGGGCGACGCGGCGGCCGCAGCCATGGGCGCTGCGCCTGCGGGGGCGCGGAGGGGTCTCGAGGAACGGCCGGGCCGGGCTGGGCGGACCGCGGCCGGCACTGGCCCTGGATGCTGAGCCGCCGTGGGGTCCCCTCCGGCGCCGGAAGGGCCCGTGAGCGCGAGCGGGGCGCATCGGAGGAGCTGGGCAGCCGCCAGCGGCGTCAGGGGACCCGCCTGGCCGCCGGACGGATCGAGAGGGCCGTGCGGGCGCATCTTGGGGAGCGGTGACCCCGCCAGGCGCGTTTCGGGGGCGGGACGCGTCCGCAGGGGCCGCCGCCCATCCCCGGGGGCCACCGCCGGGGCCCGGCGCAGCCTCGGTCGAGCCAGGGGCGCCCCTGGATGGCTGAGCTGCCCCCTCGCCGGCCGTCCGGGCGCCGCAGCGGCTGAGCTCGCTGGGATCGCCGGGCCGCCGCCGCCCTCGCCGGCTCCTGCATGCCCGGCGCCCGGGTCGCGGCCCACCTGGACGCGCTGGGCCCCCTGGTCCCCTACGTGCCGCCGCCGCTGCTGCCCTCTATGTTCTTCGTGGGCCTGTTCTTCGTCAACGTGCTGATCCTATACTACGCCTTCCTCATGGAGTACATCGTCCTCAACGTGGGCCTCGTCTTCCTGCCTGAGGACATGGACCAGGCGCTCGTGGACCTCGGCGTGCTGTCTGACCCCGGCTCGGGCCTCTACGATGCCGACTCGGAGCTCGACGTCTTCGATGGTTACTTGGAGTAGGCTTGGCTGCCGGCCCCCCATCCCCCGCCACGACCCGCAACCCTCCATCCGGAACGGACACCCAGATCATGCCTCCGCTGCTGGTTGGAGGCACCGTCTGGCCAGGGATGGAACCCCCAGGACGAGGCCCTCTCCAGTCTCCCAGGCCTGTGAGTGCCCTCTCTGCGCGGGATGAGGGCGGGTTGGGGCGCCGGCTAGGAAGAGGGAGGCCTCCCCAGGCCGGACGCACACCCCTCCCCCAGGCTTCTGATTCCTCCGTCCGCCTTCTCCAGGTGTATTTCAATACTAGAAATGGCCAGACCTCTCTTAGTCCCTTGGTTAGGGCTGGAAAGCTTCCCCCGGGGAAGGTGACGGCTGTTGAAGAGGGGAAGGGAGGCAGGGCCTAAGTGGTGTTGGGGGTAGCCGTGGTACCTACTGCCACAGCTTCTGGAAAGAGCCTTTGTGTCCAAAATCCATTTGAGGCAGAGCTGTCAGTTCCTCCCCCTGTCCTCAGCCTGGCTTGATGGTGACCTTGGCTTTTTGGGGATTCTCTCTAGTCCCGGAAGGATGAAGACTTGGAGTCTCAGAAGAGGTAGGGAGGCAGGCACTGATCACCTTGTGCTGTGGCCCCTTAGGGGACTGGGTGGGGCCTGGGGACAAGGGTTCTCGGCCGAGGCTGTGAGAGGACAAACCTCCTTCGGCAAAGAACCCTGTACTTCCTTTGGGCCTTGGATTTGCCGCTGTCTGAGAGTCAGGTTTCAGGTTGCCTCAGCTCGGCAGTTCTGCAGCTCAAATCTGCAGGGGCTGCCGGTTTGCAGGCTGCCCCAGCTCGGCAGTTCTGCAGCTCAAATCTGCAGGGGCTGCCGGTTTGCAGGCTGCCTTCGCAGACCCGGCGAGCTGGGGGTTGGAGCTGGGACTGGCCTCGCCTGCAGTGTTTGCAAGGCCTTGGGATTCTTGGGCCGGTAGAAGGGAATACAAGATCCTTGCACTGAGGTGTTAAAGTCGGGCCTCGGGGCTGCGACCAGGACGCTGCGTGTCTGGCCTCACCTTGTGTGTTAGTGGGAAGGAAATAAAGGTCTAGGAAGGAGAAAGGCCAAAGGCATACAGCCAGGAAGAAAGGCAGCTGAACTAGATGAGAGAGAGAGACAGGCAGGCTGTGGGGTCTGCTGAGGGTTCACGGGGCGTGCAGGAACTCCTTGGCTGGAGCCCCTCAGCTGGACGGTGCTGGAGTGGCAATGGCAACGGAGGGGGGATACTGAGGAGGTGGGCAAGGGCTCCTTTTGGAAACAGACACTGATGCTCCTCACCCCAAGCGGGCTGAGTTAACCGCTCTCCTCTGTTGCCCATGTCAGCCAGGATGACCATAGTCAGAGTGTGGGGCAGGGTGGGGCAGCATCCACTGGCAGTCGTGCTGGGCCCTGGGGTGCCCCTGGGGGGTTGATAGTGAGATTTCTTTGAAGAAAGCATCATTTGAGCTCAGCTAGACCTCAGCAAGAGCCTAGTGCCCGGTGGAGTGTGTCAGCTGCTCTGCGTACCTACCCAGTTTGCCTGTCTGCCTTCTCTCCATCCATCCATCTGTCCATCCATCCATCCATCCATCCATCAATTGATCCATTCTTTTACTGAGCAAATGTTCACTGAGTACCTGCTGTGCCTGGTGTGTGAACACAGTGAATAAGACAGACCCGGCCCCAGCCCTCCTGGCACTTGGTGAGAAAAACAAGCAGGTTCCCAAATAAGATAATCAGATTTTTTTTAAGAGCTACGAAAGCACGGGAGAAGGACATGGGAGAAGGACGTGGACGTCCTCTGGTGTGTTCACTGCTGTTTCCTCCGCACCCAGAACAGCACGTGGCATCTCGTGGATGCTTCATAAATGTCTGTCGAGTGAGTGAAACAGGAGAACACAGATGGGCTGGCTGCTTCAGTTGGGGGGGGTCAGAGAAGGCCTCTCTGAGGAGACCACACATTGGAGCTGAGCCCTGAATTAGTAGAAGGCCAGACATGAAGATCTGGAGAAAAGCAGTCTGGGCAGGGGGAACCTCTCATGCCAAGGCCCTGGAGTGGGAGAGATGCTTCTTCCAGCCCCTCAAAGGAGGCCAGCGTGGCTGGAAAGAGGCCCGAGGACATGTCAGTGGGGTTGGGGGGCCCGGCCATGCAGGACCTGGAGGCCACAGCCGTGAGCCATGGGAAGCCCGCAGAAGGTTCCAGGCAGGGAGTGACTCAATCCCACTGCACTTTTTGCAAATTGACTTTGGCGGTTGTGGGCAGAATGGGCTGGAGGGGCGAATGTGGAGCAGGGAGGCCGTGAGGAGCTGTTCAGTTGCTCAGGCCAGAGGTGACGGGGGCTTGGATGAGCCAAGGTTAGTGAAGATGAGGAACACGAGCAGACCGAGAACACCTTTTGAAGGTAGAACCTCTGGGATCCATTCAAAACCGATACTGAGTATTGATCATATACCACGCCTAGTTCTAGGCCCTTTGCTTTTTTGCTCATTCAGTCATTCAACAAACATCAGCCCTGCCTGCTCTGCTGCCAGGCCCTGTTTAAGGGATCCCAGGATGCATCCCTGCCCCCAGGCCAAGCGCTTGACTTTCAGACAGTGTAACTTGGTGAAGAGTGTCTTATTTTATCTCTTCAGCACATTAACAGAAACACTTCCTCTTCCAAATGAAAACATTGGCATACTCTGAACCGAAAACCGAAGCCCAAATGCTTCAACATACGTTGCAGCAAACGTTTGAGCAGAAACACCGGCAAGTGCGTCTCAGGGACACCGTTGCAAAGCTTTCAGAGGGATGGGCTGACCCTGGGAGCTGGGGAGCTGGGGTTGTGGGGAAAACTCCTGGAGAAATGCTAGAAGCCAGGCACGGCATTCCTTCTTCCCCAGTCCCGAATCCAAGCCAGGGTGGCCCTGGCCCCAAGGACGGGAGAAACCCAGACTCTAGTGGAGAAGGCATGGCTCACAGAAGGAAAGCCTTTGGGAAAGATTAAAGGTGATGTGGCTGTACCTCCTTTCCGGGCCCCTTTCCATAAACAGAGGAACACGGTAGTCACATCTTGCTCTTTCTTGCTCATTCTCACACAGACACAATCTCATGTTCCATACGAGCCAATCCAGCAAACACCGACTAAGGGGGTGGACATGCCAGGCACTGGGGACCAGGGTGGAGTCAAGACGAAAAGGTGCACGCACTTTAGCGCCCTCTCCTTCCTTTTCCTTTCTTTCTTTTGTGTGTACACACAGAATTCAGTTCCTCCCACATTTGTCAAGCATGAGGATTAGGGTCATGATTAGGAGCAAGGACCTGCGATTCAGATGGCCTGGGTTCAAACCCCAGTCCTAGCTGTGACCCTGGGCATGCCACATACCTCCCTGTGTGTCAGAGTTCTCTGAGGCAGGGATGATGAAAATCCACCTCATTGTAAGGATTAAACGAGATGATTGTAAAGCTGATAGACTTTCCTGTGCATAATAAGGCCGTATTACTGTTGTCAGATGTAATGGGAAGTGTGTACACTCAGCCCTTGCAGGTGTGTAAACCTGCACATAGGCTGGCGCGTGAATTTATCCCCCTCGATGAGCTAAAGAGGCCTGAGTGCTGGGTCGGTGCAGGTCTGGGCTACTGGGACAGACTTTCCACTCTACCTTCCTGGCCCAGGACCCTCATGAGACCTTTCCCACTGCCCCGTGGTCTCCAAGGGCCACCAGATCTGGAGCCCGGGAGCTGCGCTCTGCGGTTTTCCTGGAGCGTTCATCTTCGCCCAGGAGCAGGGAGTGGGGAGTCCGGATCTCCCTCGCTCCCTCCCAGGAGGAAGGGGCGCAGCGGCTGGCCCGGGAGCCGGGAGAGTTGCCGTCCCAGCAGTGCCCATGTGGAGGCGGCTCAGCTGGCTGATTTGTCCCGGTTGCTGATGAAAGCAGCTGTGCCTGCCAGCCGTCTCTCAGCTCAGAGGGAGGGCCGTGAGAGGGGAGCTGCTCTGTGCTGGAAATGGAGAGACTGGAGAAGGTTGCTGCTGGAGTCCCTGCAGCCTGGTGGAGCTCAGATCTGGAGCTAAGGGTAACCAGACCCATCGGTCTGCATCTTACTGAATTTCCTAGCTTCAGTCTCCCAACTGGGTGCACAGCCATCCTTCGTGATCTGCCTGCCCTGGTCCCTCCGTGCCAGTTAGTCACCTGTGCCATCAGCAGAACAGCCAGGCTGGGCGTATCGCTGCCCTGCTGATAAACCCAAACCTGGGCCAGCCCCAGGGGCCTAGTGGTTAAGTTCAGCACACTCCACTTTGGTGGGCCAGATTCAGTTCCCAGGCATGGACCTACGCCACGCATCTGTCAGTCGCCATGCTGTGGTGGGAGCTCATATAAAAAAGAGGAAGATTGGCAGTAGATGTTAGCTCAGGGCAAATCTTCCTCAGCAAAAAAAAAACAAAACCACCAACCCCAAACCTTCCTCAGGGACATGGGCACCATAGATTCAGGTCATGTGAGATCTCACACAGGCAGCCGGTGGAGCTCCAGGCAGGGTTCAGGCAGGTGGGGGAAACCAGGTAGGAAGCTGTGACTGTTGTCCAGGTGAGAGACAGATGATGGTGGTGTGCACCCCCAGGCGTGGTTGACTCTCCAGCTCTGTCCTGACATGAGGCTTACCGGAGGGTGCTGCCCACAGGGTGCATTGGTGCTGGCTGCCCCTTTGGACAGGAGAAGACCTCAATATGTATCTCCAGACAGTGAGATGCCAAGGGTCCCACTCCCTTGTCCCTGAGTTATGCAAACTGGATGTTTCATCCAAGGGACACCCTCACAGCCCTTATGTCTGTTTTATTGACTAAGAAATTAAGGGCTCCTATCAACTTGACCGTTTGTATTCCTGGTTTGTCTGCTGTCTTTCCCCCCAGGACTTCTGAAAACATAGTCTGCTTTCTTTTCTTTCTTTCTTTTTTTTTTGGTGAGGAAGATTGACCTTGAGGTAACATTTGTTGCCAATCTTCCTCCTTTTGCTTTAGGAAGATTGTTGCTGAGCTAACATCTGTGCTAATCTTCCCCAATTTGGATGCGGGACACCATGACAGCATGGCTTGAGCGGTGCCTAGGTCTGCATCCAGGATCTGACCCGACGAACCCTGGCTGCTGAAGTGGAGCAGGCGAACTTAACCACTCCACCACCGGGCTGG